CAAGGTCCGCCAGCTTGACGAATGATGCTACTATTAAACAGCAAGCACGTCAAGACAAAGATGTACCTAATTATACCACAATTTTAATAGAACGAAACAATTATGGAATTCTAAAAATGATAGAAGAATTGATCACTAACTTTGCATAGAATGCTATTATTAGTTTGAGATCAACAAACCAAGACTGGTTCATGTTACATTTTATTCACAAGTAGAAAAAGTATTACAAAACTATTTATACAAAATTTTAATTTACATTCCTTAAAGGAGTATTTAAAACAGCACTATAAGTCCCTTGTCACGATATGCGGGCAGTCTAAACGCGGTGATAGTGTATGTTTTCTATTGGCATGTACAACATTGTTTGCCACAGGCAATATAAAAAAGACCAATTTGGTTAAATTAAGGAAAAAAGTATATACACAATATACACATATTTAAAAAGCACTCTCTTCATTTTTTCCTCCCAATTTGCTCTCAAGCTATCTGTCACTCGTTTAAAGAAACGAGTATTTTTCTCTAGACTTGCCGGACAAAAACAATTATACAAAGTGTAAATTCCAATGGGAAAACATACTCACTGTGGCAGATGCTGGCAAAACTTTTGAACATAGCATTTTAAAGAACTGTTATTAGTAAAAAGTTAAATCTCCATATGTTCTAAAAATATCTTGCCGTATACTGAAATGCACATTGGATTCTTTCTATTTACAAAGTATATACAAAGAAGCACACATCTCTTCATGCACATGTAGTGAAAAATAACGCTTTGTCACTTGTTAAATGTATGAAAGTATCCAAAGAAATTACTCAAAACTACTCTTATTTGAATAGATACTTTGAAGTATTTAGCTGAATAATTGCACTCCCTGTATAACTGCGTATTATTCTGTCAGTGACAAAATGGTGGTATTTACTACTTCTAAAGAAATTGCTTATGTAATTTCTTCACTTACTTTGGTTTGAATTTGATAACTGTTATTTATGATTTTTGCACATGAATAATCTCACTGGTTTTAGCTGAAGCAACTTACTGTCTTGGCTGCCTATACTGGCTTTAGCTATTCTTGTGCAGGTTGAACCTTCTACTGCATGCTTCAAAGCAAAAGTATTTTTCCATTATGGAATATGAATACTGTCTCAACATTTCCATTGCCACACAAACCATGTGTGGAAAAATGAGTAATATTTATTGCAAATTTGCATTTGTTTTGCTGATTGCTTTGCTTTTGTCAAGGCACATTGGGTACTTTAAAGAATAATTGCCCGTTCATCACTGACAGGTTTGAGCCTGCTGAATGTAATGAATCAGTAGAGGTTACTGGGATTACTCACAGAAGTAAAAACTATTTTAGGGATAAGAACGGTTGCAGAACAAATGGTATTATGGGATGTGGTGCAACAAACTGCAGTTAAAAAAATCTTAAAGAACAGCAGTGAGGGCAGAGAGTTGATAATTTACTAGGTATGCATGCAACTTTGAGGATTCAATTCAGAGGTATTTAAAAAAAAAGTTATGGATTATTTTTTATATTTTGTGTAGAAAAATTGAATTTACACAATACTACAGTGAGAAGGACAGAGTGACGTGACTGAAAAGAAAAGGCCTGCTAAATGAACGAATTAGGTCACCATGAAGCTTGACCCTTGAAAATAATGCATTACTAAAAAATACTATTAAGAGTCTCATTGTATGAATACTTTCATGGCACACCTGCTAGTTTGACATTCTGATGTAATAGTTGATTACATTTATTTCAACATCCAAAAATTACATGCTCTAACAACAAGTGCTATATTCCAATACTGAGACTACCAATTAAACACAACATTCCTATCTATATGGCTGACTTTTATTAAACTAAATCTAATTTAAAGCTAATCTCCTGCTAGATTTAACAAAACAATGCCCCGTCCCACAAATGTAATAACTGGCTGGAGGGGACTTCAACCATACGTATTGTAACATGCAAATTCTTTAACTCCCCAAACTAGCTTATTGACTATAATGTCATATACAATAAAAGCTGCAGTTTATCAATAGATGATCCTTGCATAAATAAGAAATGTTTATTTTTTAAGTCCTTCAACAGCAGGAAACTGATTTAAAATTAGAACCAGCCAAAAAAATTCTAATGCATGCATAAATCTGCAAGCAGAATAACTGGCAACTTCTTGTCCCACGCCTTCTGACATCTGTGGCCATATTTAAGACACCTACCTAAACACACTGAAGTATTTATATTTCTTGCTGTATTTACATATACTTTTAAGCTCACTCCATTAGACTTTCTGAGAATCGGAGGGAACAGAAGGTTCTTTTTTTAAAAGAGATGCAAAAGGTCATAAATCCACTTTCATGGTTCTCCTAGGATGCTCCTTGAAGTTTCACTTTACAGCTGTTATGGCTCAGATGCAACTGCTCAGAAGGTGTGAAATGATGCCATTTTTTTCCAGCTGATTTTGAAACCATGCAACATTGAAGATCAGACTTAAGTTTGATGAGAATTAGCAGAGGAGCATTAGGGAAGCACTCAACTTCAGTGCTGAGAGGAATAGCTTGGTTTCCTAAAAGAAAGTGATAGAACAGTGGTTACATAAACTCAGAAAAAACTGCATGCACTTTTGTACTTGACTAAACACTAAAAAAATACAGCTATACTTACTGCTTGCTGTAAAAGTATGAAGACTGAATCTGTATTAAAATACCCATTAAAAACTGATATTTATGTGAACATAAATAAAAATATGCTATCTTCTGATTTTATCATGTTATTATTTATTTTGAAATATAATCATGAACTATGGCCCTATGCAAGACTGTAATGCATCCACATGTACTAAAAAGCCCATACTTCCCTCAAAATACCTCAAAAAGACAACAAAGATGAAGGGCAAATGGAAGAAAATGATGTAGACTGAGATGAAGTAATTTTCATGGAGTTGTATAGTTGGTCAGAGTTAAGCCTCAAAATACATCTCAGGTAAGCCTAGTCTTGGTCCTGTCCCTCAAATGTTACTTAATTTTTGTCCACCAAAGATGCAGCAGTGATGCAGTGTAGAGTCTGAATATGGAGAAATTGTCTAAAATGAATTAGCAAAGTCTATTAAAGAAAAAAAAACGAAAAAGAACCTAACCAATCCAAACCACCTTGCTTATTCAGAATTATATACAAATCTCAGTAGTAATACATGATAGTACAAAACCATCACAGCATACAGGATTTTGAAATGTCAGAAAATATGTCTATATACAAATATGAATTAGTAAGAAAATTTACAATTTATATATTATAGCAGGAATGGTGAAATGTAAGTTAATTTTTATAGTGATATTTTAAAGTTCTGTGGTTCCTTTCATCTAGAAAAACTAATATTAAGCACATACCTCTGAACCACTGGTTTAGTGGAGGAAAAAAACCCACAAACTTTTCATTTTTTAAATCTTAATATGGAAATGTATTTCCTTAAAACATCAAGAAAGCATTCAAGTTCCACTGATAATCACTGAAAAACTGGGAACTAACAGCGTCAAGATTTGCAGTCACAGCCATGTCATTGTCCCATCCTATATACACCTAGAGAATATAACTATCACCTAATGGTATTTGGCATATACTAAAATGAAAATATGACACTTGCTATCTGACATTCTGGCAGTTAGTGCCAGACACTGTTACAGACAAAACTATATACTGTAAATAATATATTGAGAAAAACATGCATGACATAGATATGGTTGATATTTTCAGTGACAGCAGTAAATTTTCAGGGTGATACCTGAATTTCATTGAAGTCAATGGCAAAAAAAAAATCTTAACTTAGCAATCTGTTTACCTCCCTTTCCTCCTCTTGAAAATGTCACCTAAGGGATTAAGGATTGATTTACAAAAAAATTAACTATTGCACTTACATGTTTAGAGAATATGTATATTTTTTTGTTAAATACTAATTACCTTCTACTTCTTATTTAAGAGCAATATGAAAGTGGCATGCAGACCAAATGGAAGAGGATCAAAGGCAGACAATTTTAATTCTGCAGATGACTCAAAATTTTCGTAATTACAGATAGCATAATTTTCTTAATTAAGTTAGGTGGATTATTAATAGTAGGGGCAACTGCTTCTGTTCCTGTGTCTGTGTACATGCATAGGAGACCTTGAGTAACACCACCAGTACACATGCCATACTTTGGGATCCTTTCACAGATTAACTACTTGTTGCTCCAAGTTACTTCCAATAGGAGAAAATGCCATTTTAAAAATATAATGCACAGCTAATATTAAAAAAGATATGATGATGAAGCAGTAGCAGAGTGACTTTTTGTGATGGTTATATTGTTATGCGGTAAAGATGGTTCTTTATTACCTCATCTCATTTTGACCTCAGACCTGCATTTTCTCTGAGAATTAGAACACTGAGCTTTTATAGATTAAATTATATTTTATGGATAAACTTATGGAATGTTTTATCTGATGACATGGGAATATGAACGGCATAAAAAAGCATTTGATATTCTCTCTTCTGTTTCTGCTATTGCTGTAGTAACCTCACAGAGAAGACTTTGTAAATATTTTTGGATGAACACTTGCATTTCTTTTATGCTTTGTTTACAATAAGCAAAGACAAGTCCTCAGTTCTTCCCTCATAAACAAGGACTAGCTTCACATAATAGTTTGGTCATAAGGCTATGAAACCGATTTCTTCCCTGAAATTTATTTAAAAAATAACTGATAAAAGCTGACTAGTGTACAGACTTACCATTGTATTCTGGTTCACATAATCTCAACATTACGGTCTGAGTAATTAGACCTTTCAAATTCAGTCAATTATTTTAAAATGTGAAACTGTTGGATCTCTTGTTAAGAGTTTTAATTTATTTTAGCAATAGCTAGGTGTAACCTATGGAGAAACATAACCCTACAGCTTTCTACAATTCTATTTTTATCTAGCCCTATGTGCCTTGAGTACTCATTCTCATTCCTTTGTAGTTACGGTTTTTACCTCTTTATCAGTCTGTAGAGTCACTTGCTGTTCCATTATGCTTTGTCTTTGGCTGGGTTTCAGCAGCCGCTGAGTTCTGAAGTGATGAAACTTCTATGCATGTTCTATGTTTGGATATTTCAAAGGACTCTGCAATGTTTCCATCAAGGGACTTTGGTGAAATAAGTACTCCACTTAGATCCTGTTTATTACCCAACTCAACAGTGGCTGCATTTTCAGCCTCAGGACTGCAGGATTTTGCAGATCCTCCAGCCAGTTCTGTGTATGATTCACAGAAAGAAATGCTGTCACAAGCCGAGTTTTGCATAAGAGGCCAAGCATCTGAAATGTCTCCACAGGTAGAGTGCGAAAGAGAACCAAGGAAGGTAGGAATCATTTCTCCAACAGAATCAGAAGCCCTGCAAAAGGATAAAAAGCATATGGCTTCAAAAGCATTCCAGAAAACATTATCAGTTTTGTAATTATTGTCATTAATAATTGTAGGTATTTCAAGAAGGTTTAACAGGGTTATATTAAGTTAATACTCTAGAGGCATCCTGTACAAACAAATTATTTTGAAAAGCAATACAGTTTGTTCCTCATCTGGAAATGAAGAAAGCTCTGGAGAACACTACTAAAGGTAAAGAGGATGCCTAGAGCCCTTCACACTGTGAATTCAGGCTTTTAGAAAACATGAACTACAGCTGGGGTTGTTTATAGGCTAAAGAACAGAAATATGATAAAACATACTATAGTACTATTCGGATACAAAGACTGTTTTGAAGAGGAAGGAATTTAACTGTTCACAACGGGGTGGGTTAAAATAAGATATAACAAGCTTAAATTGTAGCAAGAAAGATGTTGGGAAGACTATAGAATCTGCAACACCAGGTTTGGTTTTTTTTTTAATAAAAGCAGGCTAGACAAATATCTAATGGAAGTAAAAGAAGTAAAGTGGGTTCAGACTGGGAAAGGGAATAGACAAGAAGAATGCTTGAAACCTCTGTCCGCATTATTTCATATTGAACATGCATTCATTTTAGATTTTTCAGTTTGTTCTGTCTAGCCTTCAAAATGTGAAAAGTTTTCCTCCTATTCTCTTTAATGTGGAAAGGACAGAATATTAATGAAGTGCAAGGATTTTTAATTCTCACAAGGATTATTTTTATTTTACGGAAAATGGAAGAAAGTGGCAGTAGAAGCTCAGTATTATCTATGTCAAATATATTTAAGGTGCATGATGATACTGAGATGTCTGAGTGCATTATACATGCCTATCTGCTGAAAGCCCAGTAATGTTTTTTGCTACAGTATACCAAAATAAGTATTAACAAAACCCAAAAGATATACCTTTTATTTCCAAAAACTGCCTACAGATTTACAAAAATGTAAAGACTGTATTAAGTCTGATATACAGCAATAATTTCTGTGACAAAACTCATCCCACATTAACATTGGCTATAACAGATTTTAAGTAGCTTTACTCATTTCCAAAATGTGATGCTTTGATAGCTTTGATATACACACAAAGCGTTTTTATAGATGAGGCCAAAAGTCGGGACACTGAACCACAATTGAAGGAAATACATTATTTTGGCAAAGGAAATTGAAGCAAACTCAATTTTTACTGAAAGGAACCACAGGATCTTTGATGTCCACATAGCATAGATATGACATTTATTTTTAAAGTCTTAACCAAAAGACCCCTCACAAAGCACACAGCTTTCAATTTGTCAGCCTTGGTGGTATAAAAGGATGACTCAAGCTTGCTGGTATTTAAACAAGTTATTATAGAAAATTTAGGTATTTTGTACTTAGGTCACTAAGTCACCTTGCATGAACAATACCTATGAAGAAGCTGCCTCTACTTTTTTATTACATTTGGCCATAAGAACAAAACAGATGGAGACCAATTTAAACCTTATATGGAAAACTATTCTAGCTAAAAGAAGTAAATACATCCTGCGTTAAAATCTGTAAGCAAGAAACTCTGAATGACACCATAAATTTTATGTATTCAACTTAGGGCACTGCTGTAGAAATAACTACTCTACTACTGTATTTATATATGGCTGATCAGGAGAAACTAATGATTAAAATCTGGTACAAATTGAGAAATACTAGATATTTCAAATCTCACAGTCGTTAAGAGCTTCTAAAAAAAGAAAATCTTAATGACACTTCTAAACTCTACCTTATACCCCCTAGATTCACAGGTTTATGCAGCACCTTGCTAACCCAAAGCAGACGAGGGCATTGCTAAAGCCTCTAAGATACCATGGAGTAAAAGGAAGACTATCTGCTTGTGAGAGAATAAGTCACTTCTTTGTCAGAGAAACTGAGATATTATGTCAGTATTTATTAATACTTAAAATGGATTCTTCACCATAAACCTGTTTTTGCACAAAGCAAGAATATATGGCTAAAGTTTATCAAAATCCCTCATTCCACTCCAAACAGCTATTGCATCTGTATAAATATTAATTTGACTGCATAAGAAATATTTAATGTTTTAGACATTTATAAAACTACGTTACCTTTCATTAAGTGTAGTCTGTGAGTGGAAGGCACAATTGTGACTGCTGTGCTCCATGCTACAGGTTTCATCACAGCACAGTGATGGAATCAAGTGAACTGGTCCTAAGGAATTAAAATTAATTTAATAATGTTAAAAGTATTAAAGCTCTGTGTAAAATTTGTCTCTGTACTCTTTCAAGCTTGAGTATTAGCTTGCCAGTTACATTATAATATATGGATTGAGGAAAGCGATTTCTTATTGCAAAAAATGGGCTCTTTAATTTATTACTTTAAAATGGAAAAAGCCAAGCTGTTCGTCCGGGAGTAATACAGATGCCAGTCATGAGTATCTACTTTTTAAATTAATTTACTTTTCAGTTTGGTACATGTGAGATGAAGTACCACATTTGGAGTTAACATGTTAGGATGGTATTTAAACCTGTGCTCTTCTGTTAAAATATGTATTTGTTAACATCATAAATGCATCTGTTCTGATACCACTTCACAAAATCCCAATTATTTGAATTGTTCAGGTTTTTAATGTCCTTTGAAGTTTGTATCATGTTCTTAGATACTTTCTGGTAAATCCTTCACACCAATTTAAGTCTCAAAGCCAGATGCAGTGCTATTTGTATCAAAAAGAAATGGGATAGATACTTAAAGCTATTTTCAAAGTGAAGAGTCGTCGGAATGAAAACGGGGAAAAAAATCATAACCAAATAGCTACTTAGAAATTCTATGTGCTTATTAAGAAATTAGCCTAGGACAAAGGGTAGTTTGACAATGTTAGCTCTGTAGTCAAAGTTAAAAGTCACAACACAAGCGTTAGAAAAATGTTCATTATGCCATAAAGTTACTTTGAAGTAGACCTAACATACCACATGTCTGTGATGTGCTTCTCTGGCACTGGCAACAAGTTCTGTGGTTATATTCATTTAGCCGTGGTCTATCAAAACATGACAATTCAGAGCCATTGTAGTGAATGTCTTGTGATCTCAGAGACCCTTTGGACAAAATGAATAAAAATCTATATTAGTAAATTACACTCTTTTTCCTGTTGAGCCTCCGATCTTCATAGAATGATTAAATGTCATACTACACAGTATTTCCATACATTTTCCAACTGAAAGATCCACAGTAATCATGTGGTTTCATATAATTCAAACCACAGATTTTGCAACAAACCCTAGAACAGCTGGTTCAAGTACAGCCTCTTCTAGGAAGACATTTGCTCTTATTTTGATGATGATTTAACAGTATATCTTACTATTACATTTTCTCAGTGTTTAATGATTCTCAGTGATTCCCATCTGAAATTTTCCACATTCAGCTTTCAGCCACTGGGATTTTGTTTATGTTATCTTAAAGAGCTTTACATTAACAGAAGAATTCCTTTAATCTGTACAATTGTAGGCCAAGGCAAACGAGTTAATAAATTTCACTAACTGCAGTTTGAATTCACTATCAATGAATTTCTTAAAATTTACATTGTAAAGCATATTCTGGGTTAGGAATAATTCTTACAATGCCTCTCTGAATCTTTTTATTTTTGCTTGTGCTGTAAGCAGTGATAACATCAATTATTCCTGGTTATTATTCTTATTTGACACCCAGTCTTCATTGGATGTTATAAACATATTTTAATAAAAGTTTTTTAAATGATAAATGGGAACTAGAGGGCTTTTGACTTTTCTCTTTATTAATTTAAATCAAGAGGCAGAAAAATGTTTATTATAAACAATCTGTGAATTACATTCATTGAATCACAAAATTATAGAATCATTAAGGTTGGAAAGAACCTTCA